CCCCCCCCCAAGAAAAAATCTCGTATCGACCCCTCCACCCCCCTCGCTTCAACGCCTCATTGACTCTTGTTCACCACAGAGGGTGGGAGTTCCACCGCATCGACGGCTCGACCGACGTCCTGGACCGACAAAGTCAGATCGAGGAGTTCAACTCCAACCCCAAGTTCTTCGTGTTCTTATTGTCGACGAGGGCAGGTGGTCTCGGCATCAACTTGTGCGCTGCTGACACGTGCATCCTCTTCGACTCCGATTGGAACCCTCACCAGGACAGCCAGGTAATCACTGAGAGAGGGAAGTGAGAATTTGAAATATCAGCGCGGCGGTTCGTGGGGGGGTGTTACGTTTTAGCTGTTAGACCATTGACCACGCGTACAAGAGAGAATAGAGAGAGAGAGAGAGACAGAGAGACAGAGAGAGACCGAGAGGAGGCGGGGGAGATGGGAGTAAGAAAGCAGAGCGGCGGCGGCGGGGGGGGGGCGTAAGGTACTCGTGTTATGCACGCCTTAGCTGTGAGACCATTGACCACGCGTCCGCGAGAAGCAAGGGGGGGGGGTCAACACAATCGGAGAGAAGCGAGTGACACAACCTTGATCGCGAGATGATGTGGATGTAGATTTGGGTTCGCGTGTCACGTGCTTACGGCCTTGATGTGGCTGGGGGTCATCATCGGTGTATGTCTTTGAACCGCTTCAAGCAAGTTTTCCCACGCCAAGGTGCTGCTGGCGGGATGCATGCACTGATCACTCGTTGTAGCCTTCGGTTGTGTCTTTGTCTATGGCTATATCTCTCTGTCTTCTCTCTCCCTCTCCCTCTCCCTCTCCCTCTCCCTCTCCTCTCCCCCTCCCCCCTCTCTCTTTCCCTCCGTCTCACTCGTTCTGTGCCCCCACCAACTCTATCGTGGCCTCGCTTTGCACTGCGGTGCCCCCCCCCCCCCCCCCCCCCCCCCCCCCCCCCCCCCCCCCCCCCCCCCCNCGGTATCTATTCGCATCCCCCACCATGCACCGCACAGGCGATGGCTCGGTGCCACCGCATCGGGCAGCAGAAGCCCGTGATGGTTTATCGCCTACTCACCACCGGCAGCGTCGAGATCGAGATGATGGCCAAGCAGGTGAGTACCGCCCGTACTGCCGTTTGTAGAGGTTGTAGAAGGACGTGAGACGGGATATGGCCGCGGAGGTAGAGATGGAGACACAATGGAGGGGGAGGGAGGAGAGAAAGAGGAAGCGAGAGAGAACGAGAGAGAGAGAGAGGGAGGGAGGAGGGAGAGACGGGAGGGAAGGAGGAGTACCGGACACGAGACCACGGTACCGACATGGGCGGCGGTTGCAACTCTCATCTGTAGCATATCGGAAAACCCTCGAGGGCTAATGCTTGCCCAGTCTCCATCATCTCATCTAGGGAATTCCTCTGCCTGTTGCACATCTCATCTATCCTCAAGAGTGAGGGTGTGGTGGATAGAAGAAACCTCGAGAAGTATCCCTGACCAAGTCTCAATCACCCACATCTACGCAGTCCCTGTTACCCTAACCCAATCTCAATCTTGTTTTCTTCGCATTTCCTGTGTTGTAGATCTCGAAAAAGAAGCTGGAGAGAGTGGCGGTACAGGGCGGCGACTTCGGGAAGGCAGGCAAACGCACGTACGGCGAGATGACAGTCCCGCACCTCCGGAAACTCCTCGAGGATGACGTCGAGGACCTCGCCAAACGCGCCCTTTGTCCCGAGGTGAATGCCTTCTACGGAGATTTCTCGTCCTTGTACTGCTTCCATGTGTACGTTCTACGGAGATACCTCAACCTTCTACATAGGATAAATAGAGATATCTCGCCTTTTTGCTGCTTCATGTGTACTTTTTACGGAGATACCTCACCCTTTTACCCAGTACATATTTGGCTACTTATACTGAGATATCTGGCCCTTCTTCTGCTTCGAATGTGGTTTCTACGGAGATACCTCACCCTCCTACTAAGTACATATTTGGCTGCTTGTAGAGAGATATCTCGCCCTTTTGCTGCTTCATGTGTACTTTCTACGGAAAATCTCGCCCTTCTTTCATTCATGTGTACCTGCGCGGAGATTCCTTACCCTACGTCTACATGTGTATCTTCTTGAGGATTTCCTCACCTTTCTTATGTATGTGTTCCTTCTACGGAGATACCTCGCCGTTCTTCTACATGTTTTACCTTCTACGGAGATACCTCACCCTTCTTTTCTCTCGTGGGTACCATGTACGGAGATTCCGCACCCTTCTACACTGCAATCGTGCCCCACGCGTGAAGAATTTCTTCCGTATAAGGTGGTTTTTTGTGTTGCACATGATGCTCAACATAGCGTCCGAAACAATAATAACAGCAACCGATGTTCCTTCCGTGTCGACGCTAGTGAAAAAGCTTTTAGTACGCACCCCCCACACGCATTACGAGCTGCGCGGCCCCCTTTGTGGACTCGTTGAGATGGTGTGGACCTGAGATCCCATCCGTGTCGATTCTAAGTAAACAAACTCAGGACATACGCGCCACTCTTGACGGTTGGTTGTGGTCGATTAGCTGATCGAATCAAACGAACGTTGCCATTCTTCTGCTGTTGTGTAGAAAAACTGCTTGCTGCAACGTGCCCCCTTTTCTGGCTCGATGAGAGCGGTTTACATCTAACATTCCATGCGTGTCGATTGCTACGTTAGTCAAAGAATGTCAGCACACACACACACACACGCACACTACTGCCTGGTCGGCGGGAACCCGGCACGGAACCCTCCGGCGTTGTAGGCGGGTGTGGGAAGCGTTCCCCGTTCTCCTTTTATTTTATTTTGATCGGTCTCCTCGACGCTCTTTCTCGTTTGGTGCGGTAGCTGGTCTTTCTTTCTATCATTTTGTTTCTCTTCCGAGTGGTTTTTGTACCCTATTTTTTTCTGTTTCTTCGTGGGGTCGTGTATGCCGGGTTTTGAGACCACGGGCTCCCAATCTTTTTTTTTTAGAGCTAATGTGAGAAACAACAACAAACAAACAACAACTACTGCGTGGCCCCCCTCTTTTCCGACTCGAACTAATTCAGGCCGGAGACGGCGTTGACCGGTCCATCACGGAGGAAGAGCTAGACGGCATCCTGGACAGGGAAAGAGTCTTCGCCTCCGCCACGGGGTGGGGGGACTCCTCGCTCTTAGGGGGCGCGCGGTGGGGAAAGCGGGAGGACGGGGCGGGCGGGGCGGGGTGGGGGGAGAGGACGGGGGGGCCCGTCGTTCCCCTTCCTCGAGAGGGGGAGATGTACGACGTCGTGGATGAGCTGGACGCGAGCGTCTTGAGCTCGATGGAGTAAGTGGTGACTAGGCGCAAGAAGCAAGGCTGCTATTTAACCGTGTGTGTGTGTGTGTGTTTGTTTTTGCTGAGTTTTGGTCGTGGGGGTTGCAGTTGTTGGGCCGATTTTTTTGTTGCGTTTGTTGGGATGGTTTTTTGTTGCATTTGTTGGGATGGGTTTTTTCCGCGTGAAGAATCTTCCACACGGCAACCAAGAAGTAAGCTTGCGTGGGAGCGAGAAACGGTGGGGGGATACCTGGCGTAATTTTAGATCGGGCGGGCAAGGAGCTCGTGATGATTATTTTTTGTTGGGGTTATTGAGGCGAAAACGGCCGTATTAATGGGGGATAGGGGAGGTGGGCATTGGAGGAGTCGTCTTGACGCGGTGTTGCTGGCGCTAGAGAGCTCGATCTGAACTGCAACAAGCTCCTCTTGGCATGAGCGAGGAAACAAGACGAAGTCGTCCATTGATCTCATTCATTGGACGCTACTGGGTGGGACCATTCGTTGCTTGAGGGGTGAGAGTGCAAGCTATGCTTACATTTCGGGGCCGCGAAAGTAAACTCACCGTTGTTTGGCCCAGATTAAGTAAGGGGGAAACTGAGGGCTTCGTTGGCCACGGGGGGATGCCCCCAAGTAATTTATTGTTGGAGGGCAGGCACGCAGTTATGGGAAAGATGGACGAAAGTGTCCAATAATAATTTCGTTTCAAAGCCCGTCCAACTCACTCGCTCAAGGGTTTGACCAAATTGAACGAATGGCGACGACGCAGGAGTGTTTTGCGGGCGGGTGAAGCAGCATCCCCCTTTTCCAGCTACCCAACGATTAGGTGGACGTCGTGCACGATTTTCGTTGGCTACATAGTGACTCGACGCTGTGTGCTTTTTGTCAGCTCCAGCTGCGGTGGCATGGTGTATGCGTGTTCATGCACTTTTAGTTATGAAGACGAGTATCTAACGAAAAGCAGGGGTCCTTTTCACCTCTCTCAATGAATCATCGGGTGATGTGTGGGACGTTGGTAGGTGCGATCCGGATTATCATCGGTGATCCGACAGCGTGGTAGGTTGAACGGTGATTGTCCCGATCCGAGAGTTGGCGAATGTAAGGCTTCGGAGATGAGCTCGCCCGGCAGTGCTAGCTTGATGTCGGCCTTCCCATTGAAGGTAGAACCTACGCATCAACGGTCTACCAGCATTATTTAGGTACGGTTTCGGAGATATGCTCGGCTTGCGGGTTCTAGCTTGATGCCGGCCTTCCTAGGGGGGAACTAACGCATCAACTGTGTACCGACATTCATTAGGTGTGGTTGTGATTCCTTGAAATCTTGAAAGAAGGAATTTTTGTGCCATGCTCTTTTTCCCTCATAGATAAAGTTGCTTGATTACTGTAGCTGTCAAGTGTGTTCCCGGCGTGGGTGTACTATCATTAATTAATGTTTGTGATGCAGCAGCAAACACACTCATGGGCTGAATCAACAATTTTCGCGCGCGGATGATGCCAATGCACGTCGTGTCTTGGACGACGGGCTGACAGCAATGAAGCAGTCCACAGCAGACTCACAAGGAAGGATGTTTCTGGTGCTACAATAAGTGGGGTGATGGATTTTTTTGTTGTTGGAGGTGTTGGGACAGGAGGGTCCCCAAATACTCTTGAGAATCCGCTCTGGGACCCGTGAGCTGGAAGCGACTGCGGCTTTGTCTGTTGACGGCGGACCTTTGTTTCTGAAAATGTGGAAAGGAGCGGACAGAGAAAGCTGTCCAATGCTTGAAACTTCGAGGGCTTCGGTTGGACGGAGGGAGGGGTGAAAGCCGATTGTAGTTGTGGGAAGGAAGGGTGGTTTGGACGGAACAGTTTACCCGCGTGCGTGAGCAAGAAGTGCGGAGGCCGTTGTCTGTCGCTCCGCTGTCTTGTCAATCTCTCGTTTAGTTCTGCTCTGTTTGCACAAGGACGGTCAATGCCACGCGGCGATGTTTTGGATTGAGGGGTAGGTAGACAGACCGTTGCTCAACAGCAGCTACCCGTCCGAAACGTTCTCCTGACTAGGGAACGATTAGTGTGCGGGAGCAACACCGTAGAAGAGGCAAGATCTTTTATCCCCACCAAGCTGTGTAGGGGGGAATGGTTCGTGTTGTGTCAGTGCTCTTGTTGTTGTAGTGAAAGGATAGTTGGGGGGATACATTCTGGCAACCGTATTTGGGTGCTGCTCCAGTGACCCGTTCATGACGAGAGTTGTAAGATCCGGCGGCTGTGGTTTTGTGCGGCACCGTTTGTTTTTCTTAGCGGTTTTCTTCCCAAACCGGGATAGATGGGGTATTGCTACGTGGTTAGCTCGTGACAGTCTGTCGTTCTGCGCCCGTGATTAATGTCAAATGTCTAGTGGGTTCTTGAAATACTGTTGTTCAAAAAAGTCAAATGTCTAGCGGGTTATTGAAATATTGTCGAAGAAAATCATCGGCCGTTGGCGATTGATTTTGTCTGCGGTACTTGCACGAACTATGGGGATTATTGAACAGCCAACACCTGGTATTCCGAAAAGGTATGTATTTGTTGTGGTTCATCCCAAACACAGGAAATATAGTTGTTTTGTATGCGCTCGAACCACATCTCAGGTCTCCCCGTTATGCATGCAATCGCGTTCGCCAGCATCGATCGCTTCTCGCCAGAAACAGGTTTTTCCTACTTTGGAAGTGCAAACTTTGTAGAGAATGTAATATGGCTGTGCTTGCTTTCTTGTCGCCACCACCGGCCCCCCCCCGCCGTGCTTCAGTTCGTCCTGAAGAAACGCTTCCTTTCCTGTTCGTGTGGTGGACTCGCTCGGGTTTGTTTTCGACTAGTTCTGGCAGCGACAAGCCTTGCTTCTCTGTGCGGCAAGGCTTGTTCCTGTCTTGCAGCAATGGGACACGCCACGTCTCATGCATGCGTAGAAAACCGTTAGCAATTGAGAACTCTGGCGGGCGTATTTCCAGTATGGAAAGACTAGAAAAATTGTGGCGACGTCCGGTTGAAGAGCCCTAGTCTACACGATAGGCTCTTCCCAAGACCGGTTGTTATGGCTCACAAATGTTGCAAGAAAAGTTGTTGCAGAAACTGCAACAACTTTTCTTGCAACATTCCAAATGTACGCGCAGTATGGGAGCAAAAAGTTGCGCAAAAAGTTTTTTTTTTTTCTTAAGTGGTAATTTTCAAGGACCCGATTTTGGTTGTCCCTCCATAACTTTTGACTGAGAGCGAGTAAAAGAAAAAGAAAAACAGCTGCGGAACGCCCGCGGCAAGGCGCAAAAGAGTAGCGAGTCGCCAAAAAATAAAGAAAAAAGGATAAAAAAAAGGAAAAAGATGCTCGCGGCGGGTCTCGAACCCACGAAAGTGGCCCTAGAGCAACTTTTCCCCCATATATGTTGCTAATCCTTTTTTGTTTTTCGCACCAAACCCCCCACACGTGCACAGGAACGCCCTCAAACACTATGCAAATGCCTCTACCGCACCTGTAGCGTACATACATCACAAAAATTGGCCGTTTTCAACAAAAATGTTCCATTTTTGTACAACATTCCCACCAGAAACACGGAAAAAACTGAACAAATACAGCTCAATGAACAAGAATGCGCCATCGACTCTACGGCCTCCATTCCTTCGGGGTCGGGCGCCTGTGCGACTTGTACTTCTTGTACATTTTCTTGCCCTCACGCCCTTGCACACGCGTCTCGCGGTACATGAGGGCGTGTGTGTACGCCTTCTTGCAGTAGCCCTGGACTACCGAACCAGCCTGTCTATCCTTCTCTGGTCTAAAACTCAGCGGCACGTTCTTGCGCAAGCATTCCAACGAATATTTGCAGTTCTTTCGAGTCCAGTCCTTCGCTCGGCCCCAAACAAGCTCGATGGGGTTACACTCGCAGTGGTACTTAGGAAGCATGAGACAGCCCCCCCCGTGGCACTGCATCAACAGCACCAGACTAGAATCAACTTCCTTGAAGTCCTTCTGCTCTCCCAAAACGTGCTCCATGCTCTTGCTGAGGTCCTGCATTTCGCCCGAGCCCCCCGTCTTACTCATGCCTTTGACCAGGAGCCCCCTCTCCCACAAAATCTGCCGCATTCCTTTCAACTTTCCGACAT